CATATATAAATATATAAATATAAATAGATAAATATATAAATACATAATTATATAATTAATTATATTATATTATATTATAATATTTTACTAATTATAGAAATTATATTTTCATCTAAATAAAAAATAATAAAAATAATATTGTTATTACAAATAATATATTAATAGTTATTATTTTTTATCATAACAGTATGTTTTGATATTTTTATAATGTTATAATATGTTAATATTGGAAATTTATTATTGAACCGCTGTAGTATCTCATAATCAACCAGTCATAAATGTCCCACAAACGCACCAGTTTTTAATCGATGTACCAGTCGTACAAATTGCCTAATAACGCTAGAAACCGCAACCACCCACATCCGCAAACTCGCGCAACCGCAATCGCAACCGCCGCGTTTCAACCAGTCAGACCCTTAATATTTGATATCAACACTAATAAGCTAAAAGTTACCATCTAAGTAGAGGTTTATATTAAGTCCCTAGCGAATCCCTTATTTGATTTTGGACCAACTTTTTTCAACTGATTCTAAAGTTGCCACATAAGGTAAATTGACATTTTAATTAAGTGACAATTCAGTAAGACTTTTTTGTAATTATTACTAATTTAAGGTTACAAATTTTTAAATATTTTTAATTAATATATAGAGGATATATTTTAATTTAAACAATCTTAAATGAGATTTTATATTTATATGATTTTATGATTATTTGTATCTTGTTGTAATAAAAAAGTTAAACCGTTAATAACAAAAATTTCAATGTGGAATTTTAACAGTATCAGTAATTTATAATTGTTTAAAAAAATCAAAATATAGCATATAATCTAAACTTTTTCATTATATGCTTAATGTGATTATTTAATTTCTTTTAAATATATAAAATTAAACAAAAAATAATGGAGGATACAATTTTTTTTAAAAAAAAAATATTTTTAAAAATCATTAATTGTCATATATTTGTTAACCACATTAGATAATTCTGTAACTTTTATTTAAGAAAAGAATGGAGAATAATATTTATCATATACATTATGTTTGGATTAATATAAATTTTCCTAACAATTGAATTTTTGGACTTACTAATGATTCTTATGCTGCCAGGTAAGAAAAATATCAAAATGTTAATCAACAAACTCTAAAGAGAAATCTCAAAAAAACTATCAAATTCATCTCAAGGCTTCAAACATCTCTACACCAAGAAAGTATCAACAAGTCATCTGCAATGCCCGAGTTAATTTACACACAAATAAATGCCTTCAACGCTAAAGATGAAAATGATGAAAAAGATTTTCGAGAATGAAACTACACGAAGACAACCTCGAATTTAGCACAAGGGTTGTGTTCAATGTGAGTACTTAAACTCGAGTTCCCTTCGAATTTGAAGTTGTACAAAGCTTGTCGCTGCGTGAGGCCAAGCGGGTAGATCTTGTGTACTCTAAGCTCGTTGTCTCCTTTTAAGCTTACAGGCCTTTCCTTCTTCCACACAGGCTCATGTTCTAAAGACTTGAACTTGGCCACAACCGCAGATTCTAAAGCTTCCAGAGTCAGATGTTTAGCCCTGAATTGGACAATAACGATTTCATATCACGAGTTTGATTATAAGTGAGCAGTTAAGTGAACTTTCTTTACCTCAGAAAGATGGATTCCATTTCAAAACGGCCTCTTTCTCTAACAAAAACATGATAAACTGTGGCTGATCCTCCCCTAGTGCACTTGCAAGGTCGTTTCTTGAAACTAGGGCTTTTTTCTTCTTGTTCTTGGATCCTCGTAGCTAGGAAAATGCAGAGACGGCATGAAGAATGCACAGCAGCCATATCAACAAGTGCCTTGAAAGAATCTGAAGGACCCTCGTATTTCCATCTAAATCAAAAGACAAACATGAAGCTTTCAAGAAGAAGTTATTACACACAGTTACAACATTGATGGCAAAGAACTGGACCTTAGTGTCTGATTATAAGCAGCAGGGTTAGCTGCGAGATACTTCATTCTCTTTGCAACTGGCTCCACATCTTCCAAACTCTTAATGTGTAGGATTGAGCCCGAAGCAGGAGCAAACTCTTCTATGTTCGGAGCACCAACAACCACAGGGACAGATCCTGAGAGAAAATGTTGTGAACAAATTGCTTAGTTCATATAAGCTCTAATCAAATACTTGTTTCTCTAATGAAATCACCAACAAGAATTTCTATGATATGGTAACAGAGTAAGAAGTGAATCTAAAACATACCAGCAACTAGAGATTGGAAGAATTTCTCAGTGACATAATCCTCCTCGTTGGTGTTCTCAAAAGCCAAACTGAATTTGTAGCGTTTGAGTGCTTCAACCTTGTCAACTACAATATGAATTTCAGAGAACCAAATTACATCTTGTTGATTCATGCAAGTGTTCAAGTTATATCCTAATCTCTATGCCTACCTTTTCCATCTCGGTTCCGGTGACAACCACCATAAGAATCAATCTTGATACTAGTCCTCATCAGGGCTTCAAGTGCTTGCAATCTAAAATTCCGAGCACCACAGTTGGAAATAAAAGCAGCAGCAATGGCCTTCTCGGTCTTTGGCTGTACTGGAGCCATAATATCATATTCCGCCCATGAAAAGTACCCAACAGGAACATCTGATGAAAGACTAGTGGTCATCACAACATCATAACCTCTCCTGATGAACAAATAAAAAAAGTCAGTCCATTTACAACATCTTCTACACAAAAATGTCATGAAGAAAACGTAAAAGATTGTGCTTACCCACCGTCGGGCCTGAGCGAGATCATTATCCGGATAGTACTGAGCAGATTCCATGGAACGGATTATACCAAGAGTTCCAGGTTGATGACCTAATCCAAACACAGCATCTGGTGTCTTACCTGAGCTATCTTCAAATGTACAATCCACAGAGCAAGATTGAAAGTCCTACAAAAAAATTAAGAGAAATGTCCTATCAAGAAGCAGTAGCTTTAGCATCAAGCACAAGAGAGACAAACATAATATGAAACATGAAATGAATCCACCCATAAAGGAAAGATTGAAATTTGAGGGAGAGAGAGATGAAACCAATAATAAACCCATCAAGAAGCAGTAGCTTTAGCATCAAGCAAAAGAGAGACAAACAATATATGAAACAGATAAATGAATCCATCCATAAGAGCAAGATTGAAAGTCTTACAAATTGAAAAAGAGACGAAACCAATACTAAACCCATCAAGAAGCAGTAGCTTTAGCATCAATCACAAGATAGACAAACACTATATGAAACAGTAAATGGAATCCATAAATTGAGAGAGAGAGATGAAACAATTTATAACCCACCAAGAAGAAGCAGTAAGCTTAACATCTATCACAAGAGAGACAGACACTATATGAAAGATGTAAGTGAATCCATCCATAAGAGATGGGAACAAATCACTATTTTTCTCACTCCATGATTCATAAATGACTATGTATTATGATCATCAAGCAAAAGCCCAATTTTAGTTCATGTTGACTAATCAACCACTCTTCCATAGTAATAAATGATCAAAGACAAGAGTTAACCAAATGAAGAATCAATCTTTCATATTATTACAGTGGTGTTTTTTAACCTTGGCACCACCGGAGATAAAGATTGGATTTTTATTAAAGTCCCTCGAATAAGTCACCGAGTCTTCTCTCGCCAACCACTCCTCGCAGCTCTCCGTCACCACACCGATCTTCCTGTCGGATCTACTCGGCGGAGGAGGAGGAGGAGGAGGCTGAGAGAGCGACGGAGACTGAGTGAAGAAATCAGTCAACGTATCGACCAAAGCCACTTTATCGAGCCGACCCAGAAACCCGATCTCGGCGATGACTACAAGAGCCACGCAGATTGGTAATAAATTCGACAACTTTCGTCTGATAGATGAAGAAGAAGAAGAGGAGGAGGCATTTGCTAGAGGCAATTCGTCGTGGGTAGGTCCGATTCTGGGTCCTCGAAGATTGGAGAATAGACCCATGAAGCAGGAGGACGAATCTCGGCGAGGAGAAGGATAAAGGTTTTTCAGCGAAGGAAGAGTGAGAGATTGTGTTTTGATTTGCAGTGAGAGAGAGAGAGAGACTTTGATTAATGGTATGGTTTTTTGTTGATAGGATCAGGGGAGGCTTTGCTTCAAAGTCAATGCTCCAAACTCCAAAGTGTGTATGGTCACCGCCGGGGCCATAAAGTCGCCAACGTATTTTGATTTTTAGTTTCATATTTTACTTTTATTTTTAACATTTTTATTCTTATTATATGGAGATCGCTCAACCTTATTCTTATTAGAAGTTTGATCATATAACCCAAAAAGTTTATAATTAGGAAAACGTTCCATTACAATTGCATGGTTAGAGTCTACCATTTACTTGATGTATGATTTGTCATTTCATCCCTATAGCTAGGTTTGTGTTGTGTTATTTTTTTTTCTTATTTTGCTTTTCCTTTCGAGTTTTAATAGCTTTTAGATTTTCTTAAAACAATTTATTAGTTCTGTATTTTACATAATAAACTTCGTCGGTCCTAATTTGGACCAGTTTAAAATTTGACATAAATCGATAAAATAATAAGATAATATTAATTTAGAAATTTCTATGTAAATATATGGTCTCATTCAAATTATAAATTAATAATTTATATGTATAAACATTTTTTATAATTAAGAATCTAGCATTATATTGTTTATTTTATATTTACAATAGAATTATATTTATATTTTCATAACACTTATATATTTTTTATTCGATTTAGTAATATTATATCTAAAACCAAATTTAAATTCTATGCAATTTATATCTTATACACCAAATGATAGAATAAAATTAATATAGGTGTAAAATTTCAAAAAATGATAAATAATGTTTATACACTAAAATCAAATACTTTTCTTATCATAGAATAATTACATCTAAATAAGAAAAGTTTTGTAAACTAATATTTCTATAAATTAATCAAATTTCAACATTAATAATTTATAAAATTTCTACTATATACTATAAATTCTAATAGTATAGTTTAATTTCATCATCAAATAAAACATCTTTTTGTTGTGTTCTATTTTTTCTTTAACAAGTTGTGTTTTACTCTATTTAGTAAAAATAGAGTAGAAATATAGTTTTACAACTTTTTTCCTCTCTTTCTCACTCACACACATGTTTGATTTGTTGTCCTTTACAATCACACTAGGTGGTAACCCGCTTTCTGTGCACAGTGAATAAATTTTAAAAAAATTATATCTTTTCATTTATAGTTATTTAAAAGGTAGGAGTCATCATCACAAATAATATATGTTATAGTAAAAGATATAACAAAATTATGCTTGTTTATATAAGGTAAGCTTCAAATATTTTAAAAACTTTTGTTATTGTAGAATAAAGTATAGAATAATATATATAGTCATAACTGTAGGGTTTAGGTCACAAGAATGAGCCAATCAAATATTTCATTGCTACATTATTGGCAAAAAACTCTACCATTTCGTGTATAATTTTTAATTGGTCATGCAAATTGTGTAAGAATTAGTAGTAACATTCCTATACTAACCAAAAACGGATTGCATTATGTCGATTGCGCATATTTGTTTCCGATAGTTTAGTTTATTGCATAAATTACGGTCAAATATAAAATTATAAAAAAGAATCAAGTTAATATAGGAAACTAATATTATTGTCTGGCGATATTCAAAGACAACATTAAATCCCTCATTGATTTAAAATTTAGAGTTGATTCTCCATTTATTTACTTGCATCATATATTGGTTGAGGTCGGAAACTAAATTAAGTCTAAAAAGATTAGTATTGATTTTCCATTTATTTACTTGCATTATATAACGGTTGAGCTCCTCAAACCAATTTTTTCATAGGTAATTAAATTAATATCTTGATGGCGATGATACTTACATATTATGTGAATGTGTGGTTGAGCTAATAATAAGTTTATATTAGTTAAGTTTTGATGTGTATTTCCATTTTAGTTAATGTGGACTTTTTGATATGATTTCGGAGTCAACTGATATTCAAGATCAGTTTAGATTGATTCTTGCGCATGAGATGATATATTTGTTCCCTAAATTTAAGCTTGTAAGTAATTAAGATTATATTTAAGGGATCGTTTATATATGCTATAAATCCGTAATAGTATTGTAACCTAGTGGTTAAGGTTTAAAAGCTTCTACACGAGGTATGGGGTTTGAATCCCATGCTACGCAATTTCTACACCAAGTTGGTTGCAATTTCCGAAGAAGGTGAATGGTGAATTATGTAGATTAGAGAAAAAACTTACAAGAGATCTTCAGCATGGCGCAAGGCGTACCGTCAGGAATAGATCTCGTAGGGCGGCTTAAGGTGATACAGTCAGACGTGAACTCGCATAAGGTAGGTAGAATTGTTGGTTATAATATCGTCTATATAATATTTTCATATTTTGTAATGTATAATTATTCAGTGTTAAAAAAAAACAAATCCATAATAGCACATATTCAAATTTTATAGCTATGCATATGTATCATTATAGTATGTTTCATAATCAATATATGATTATAATACATAGGCTTGGTGACGTCATGTTTTTTTTTTTCTATATTCTCCCAATTTTGGAACATGTAACATAATAACATATCATATTATATTATAATATAAATTTTAGTAAATATAATGGATTATTTGAAGTTTTAGGAGAGCTCATCCGAATAATATATATATATATATATATATATATATATTATATATATGTATTATTTTAAATATGAGCTATTTCAAGAAAAAGTTAAGTATAGGTCTAATAATTACTTCCATGTTTGGGGGGGGGGGAGTGGAGAAGACGTCTCCTCAGACTTTTAACTAAACACAGCCTTTTGATCGACTGGTTGGCAATAGCCACTCTTTCTCCTTTGACTTAAAGTCGGCCACTGATCATTGGCCTTTAGTCTTTCTGTTTGAGGTGGTGCAGTATGTATTTGACCGCTACTTTGTGGAAAATTATAGAATATAAATATACATATGGTGAATTATAATATTAGAAACTATTGTACATCTCATGGATTTAGTACACTTAGATATTTTAATGATAATTTAAAAGTATATTCTATAAATGGATCAGTGATAATATGGTGTAAAACTATATCATAAGAAAATATAGGTTCAATCGCATTGAATTGTAAATACTCTAGTAAATTATGTTTATTTTTATAAATGAGTTGAGAATGTTTGTGAGGTTACCACATAAATAATAACAATTTTGTTAATTACACATGAGAGCAAAGTTATTTATTAAAAATTCTCTTCAAATAATAAATAAGAGATAAATTTTTCAATGCACATAAGAGATAGAATAGTATTATATACCACTAAGGCTATTCCCAGGCTACGCTCGAGTTATTTTGCAATTTAGTTTAATATAAGTTTTTGGTATTTATTTTAATGAATCTATGTTATGGTATCAATTATAAAAATAAAAATTTTGAGATAAACATCAAAAGGCAAAACTCTTGGATAATCCTTTCAAAGTTTTGTTACCAAAATAGCCTAAAAGAAGACCAAACTATACTTTTTTACTTACGATTTTTTTTTTTAAAAAAAAATTTAAACCTTTAACCCTAAACCTCATAACTACAAACCCTAAGTCTAGATTAATTAACACTATGGGTATAAGTGCATATTTATACTCTTTAATAAAATTTATTTTGGTCATTTTTCTCCTTAGGGACTATATTTGTGACAAAGAAAATTGAGTTATCTAAATCTTTTTCTCTATTAAAAATTTAAATTATTTCTGTCAAAAAAATCGAAAATAATTATAACTCAAAATTCTTATTATGAACTAATTATTCTTTTATTTAGGATTTAGGTTCTTATAAAAACTATTGTTTAGTTGTCACTAATTTATGGAATAATTGAGTTTCCGTTTTTAACCTAAAAATAAGTTTTACTTATGATATTGAAAATTATATTCTCTTTTTCATTGGTCCTTGGATTATTGTTTTTATCTAGTTTAAGAAAGTGATGGAATTATGAACAATTGAAATCACATTGATTCAAGATACATGATACGCATGTACTTCCACGGTGATGAGCTGGCAAGTGACGATTGTGCTGTTAAAATAAGTTACATTATCTCTATAAATTCAGTTTCACAATCTCATATCATCATGTAATTGATGTGACTAATATTTTTTAAAAAATATATTACTGTACAAAAACTCGATGATGTCTCTTGAAATTCTATCTTCCACGATTTGTTCATGTTTTTATATTTGAGCCTTTGGTCTCAATTTGTTTTTCACTTTTTTCCCTTTTTGGCACAAATATTTCTTAAACTAAGTTACATTAGCTCTATAAATTCAGTTTCATAATCTCATATCAACATTTAGTTGACGTAACTAATATTTTTTAAACGTATGTAAACCAATCTTCCCCACGGTGAAAAAGAAAGAAAAAAACTAAATAACTATACCAATGATTAAAATATATATATATATATATATATATATATATATATTATGCTATTTCACCTCCTTTATAGTGTGTCAGCAATAGTAAACGGTTTTGATTTCTTTGTGTTAACCATATAAATATATTACTACAGGAATAAATTAATTAAAAGGTATATTGTGAGGAAAATGTTTAATATTTTCAAAAACAATGATACATAAACTGAAATACACTAAAATATCTCCATATGTCTGCTAAATATTTTATTTACAAAAATTATAAATTAATTAAAATGTATATTGTGAGGAAAATGTTTAATATTTTCAAAAACAATGATACATAAACTGAAATACACTAAAATATCTCCATATGTCTGCTAAATATTTTATTTACAAAAATCATAAAATTGTTTAAAATTATAAAATATATTATTGTAAAAAAACCCGGTGATATCTCTTGATTTTGATGAGTTTTAGATTCATATTTTAGTTTATTATGATCATTCTTGGTTACATGTATGTCTTTATATTGCATTTGCATACATAATTGCATTTGA